GAACTGTACCTTGATGTTATAAAAGTCACTTCCTTGTTTTGCTTTTAGTTATGACACATATGTAGGTGTCCCTAAACATATTGTGATTTTTCTTTTGTAATTTTCTTTGTTATTCTGGTCATGAGTTGAGATTCTTCCATGATGGTACATGTAGCTGTTCAAATATTTTCACTTCTATATGTATTCCACTGTATAAATATACCACAAGTTATTTATCTTTTCCATTGTTGATGGACATTTGGATTATTAACAGTTTATTTTCTTTGCTATTTCAGTGATGCCATGAAACTTCTTAAACATATTTCCCTATACGTGTATTAGACTTTTTCCAGATATTAATATATACTCAGGAGTGAAGATGTTAGGTCATAAGGCACATAGGGAACACTAAGCTATTTTTAAATAGTGGTTGTAGTGTTTTACACTTAATTTATATCCCATAGCTTCATCAGCTTTGATGTCGACAGACTAAATTCTGACTCCCTGGGGAGTACGGCACTTCTCTGCATGTGCTGATGAGGTTCTATATCCTGAATGTTTATTTATTGTTTCTTCTATAAAATGCGTTTATCAGTTTATTAATTTTTCTATTAGGATATTTATAGTTTTCTTATTGACTTGTAAGATTCTTCATATATTTTGGATACTGATTTTTTATATTATAAATAACTTCTACTTTATGATGTGTCTTTCAGTGTTTTTATGGAGTTGTAATGGGCATATTAATTTTAATATAGTCAAATTTATCCTTTTCCTTTATAGTTTGCTTAGTTTATTATTATTATTTATTAATTAATTAATTTTTTTTATGGAGATGTAGTCTTGCTCTGTCACCCAGGCTGGAGTGCAGTGGTGTGATCTCTGCTCACTGCAACCTCTGCCTCCTCTCAGGTTCAAGCGATTCTCCTGCCTCAGCCTCCCAAGTAGCTGAGATTACAGGCGTGTGCCACCGTGCCCAGCTAATTTTTTGTATTTTTAGTATAGATGGGGTTTCACCATGTTAGCCAGGATGGTCTGGATCTCCTGACCTAGTGATCCACCCACTTTGGCCTCCCAAAGTACTGGAATTACAGGCGTGAGACACAGCGCCCAGCCAGTTTGCTTAGTTTATACTTAGGATGTGCTAACAATCATTGTACTTGATGAAAGTGCTGTGCCCATTTGATATCCCGAATTCATTCCCATGGTTATATTATTTATCCTTCTAATGATACATCTTCGTTACTTTTAAATCATCTTTCCTACTAAAGCCATTACTCTATTACAGGGCTATTGAAGCCTTTTTAAAAGAAATTGATTCCTAAATCGGGATTATAGTCTATTTTTCTGTTTCTTAAGGTTGCTAACGTCCAGACACATGGATACTATTGTATTTTAGAAGAGATATTTTTAAATAATAAATTATAAAAAGAGGGAACCTTTAATTGCTTTGTCAAGGAGAACTCATGCATTTCATAATCCCACAGACCAAATATAATAAGTCAGAATCTTACTTGTATTTTGTAGAAAAATATTCATTCATCTTTGACATCCGGGCTTTCTTTTTCTGCTGCCTTGTTTCAGGATTAAAGTCTGCTACCTGTGGTCCAGGGTTTTGAAATGCCAAGCATTTTAACTGCCGCTCTATTTGTTGCTATTAAACAAATAAAATGTATTAGTAGTAAGAATCAGATAGTTTTAAGTTTTACTTTTCCCCAAAATGAACTTTCCGTAACTTTCACCATAATGGCATGAAAGTATATATGTTTTACACAAAGAAATAAACGGTTTAATCTAATTAAGTTTCAAAAGACGGTATAAATTTTCTCAAGTTGGGCCATTCTTTCTGAATAAAGAAATAGTATAACACTCATAAAATAAAATGTGAAAAACAATCAAGGGGAATAGACGAATTCTCTTTAAAACTGCAAAACGGCACTCAGCTTTCCAAATTTGATGAGGATGCACATCAGAACTAGCATTTGATGTGGGTAACGACAAAGGAGTAGAGGCCCTTCCTCAGCTGTTAGCTAAAGAAGCCCATGTAGTGTCTCAAACCACAGTGAGAACCCAGAGTAGATCCAGCACTCCCCTTCAGTGCCCTGGGACGCATTTTGGAGCTACTCCCTACCCAGGACTGGCCTCCACGTGGGGCTCCCATTCAGAACTCAGCCACCTGAAGGACTGACTTTCAGTCAAAGCCAGATTGGAACAAGAGAAATATTGCTAGGATGACTTTCTAGGGCATAGGGGGACATTTTTAAAAGTCTCCGGAGTTTTTTTTTTTTTTTGAGATAGGGTCTTGCTCTGTCACCCAGGCTGGAGTGCTATGGCATGATCATGGCTCACTGCAGCCTCATTCCCCCCGGGCTGAAGTGATCCTCCCACCTCAGCCTCCCATGTGGGTGGGACTACAGGACGCACCACAATGCTTGGCTAATTTTTGTGTACTTATGCAGTACAGATGGGGTTTCACCATGTTGCCCAGGCTGGCCTTGAATTCCTGGGCTCAAGGGATCTACCTTGGGCTCTCAAAGCCCTGGGATTACGGGTGTGAGCCACTGTAATTAGAAATTAAATGGGGCCTGAGCCGAAAGACAATTAGAAATTAAATGGGGCCTGAGCTGGAAGACAAACAACAAAATGCTTCAATGGAATTGTACTGATTACTTATTGTGAACATGTAGCACATGTCATCAGGGAAGAAAATGCTCTTTTGAAGGATTATAGAAGAAAATAATCTCGGAAGCACAAAAACATATAGGCTGACATATACATGAAATACTCCACCTGGAAACAAAAGGGAACCTTTCAATATAGGAATTTCAATGTAACAAATTAGTAACAGAATGTCATGGGCTTTTCTGCAGTTTATTTAGTTTAATACAAGTCTAGTCAGTCTAAAATAATACAATGTTTCTTTTAAATGTCATCTTGGTATCTGTATATGGGTTTGTTTCATAAACTTAACCTTAAACTGTTCTGCATTAGGTATGGTTATGAAATATGTACAACTTAGTACCATCGATCACTATTCCAAGTAGCACAGCAAAGTTAAGAATAGAGATGCAGGGTCACCTGCCTGTGCTCAAGCCTTGGCTCTGCCACGTACTAGTGGTGGGCCTTGAGCAAATTCCTATGTCTCTAGGCCCCAGTTTCTCCCTTTGTAAAATGGAGTTAACAATAGTATGGTGTGAAAAGGATTAGATGAGTTAATACATACAGTTTTAGAGCCATAACATGACATAATAAGAACAAAATAAAGATGCATTAAATAAAAACATTTGTATATATTCTCCACAAAAAGCAGAATTTTACTGTACAGAACACTGGGCTAAAAATCAGGGTACACAGGAGGTGGAGAGGAGATAGGTGAGGCGAGAGCAGCCCGCACTGAGCAGTGGGGTGGAGGGAAAGCTCTATCAGCCTGGGCGGCAGAGCTCCTCCCTGTGAAGCCCTGCCTGGGCCCACCTTCCCACCTACATCCATGGGCATCTCAGAGATCCTCCAGGCAGCACTCCCCAGTAGCATGGAATCATAACATCTGTGTGCCATACCAGTTGTTTTTGTCCAATTTGACAGTTCTTCTCAGGAAAACTATGATCTGTGTGTTCCTCTTGAATGGAATTGTTTTTCTCTGATTGTTCACTCATTTCTGATCACTAAAAAAGTAATTGGAAAAAATGAAACATATTAGTATCATCTATTCCCAGTAACTTTATCTGGTGATTCTTTTCTACTCTCCCTCCACGTCTCACTTTTTTCAAAGTCAGACTGCATCTGTACTCCCAGCACCTTTTCTCCCACTCACTGTGAAACCTTGCATCTGACTCCCCCAGACCACTCTACTGAGGCTCTCCTCTGCCAGGGGTTCCAGGAGAAAATCAACTGTACATTTGACAGTCCTTAGCATCATAAACCTCTCTGAAGCAGGATTAAGAAGACTCTGAGTTTTTAGAACTCCATTCTTCCTTCTTTACACACACTCTTGAAAGAAAAGGTATGATACGTTAATGCCATACATACCCAGTAATGTTGTGAAAAGCTCATCCACTCCAGCTGACACCTCTTCATATATCATTCCCACAGTGACTCCCCAAAGCCTTGACCTCCTTATTCAACTGATAAATTTCTAACGCAACTTGTGCTAAATGGTAATCAGTTTTTCATAAAACCCCACTGCTAAAATGCCTGTAACTTCTTCTAAATTACTTCAGTAGTATATATACAGGGTGTGTGTGTGTGTGTGTGTGTGTGTGTGTGTATGTGTGAGAGAGAGAGAGAGAGAGAGAGAGATGGAGCCCACACAAGATGCTAATCATGAGTGACAGCCCAGGGGTGGTCTGCAATGTTCTATCAGAAGAGACCACTCTCCAGAGGAAGCTTCCACAAGCCCTGCTGTCTTCCCTGACTCTCATGTACTACCAATGCTGACTACAGGGTACCATTTCTACCAAAGGAACTTAAGAGTTACGTGTTACCATGTTGGCTTGACTCATTGAGCAGCACCTCCAATTGCCGACCAATTGGAAATTCCATTTCTATCAATGGGAAATCTCCAGACTGCTCTCGACAGTGACTGGACTAATTTACATTCTCACCAACAGTGTGTAAGTATGCACCATGGAATACTATGCAACCATAAAAAGACCTAAATCATCTCTTTTGCCGCGACATGGATGCAGTTGGAAGCCGTTATCTGAAGTGAACTAACACGGAAAAAGAAAACCAAATACTGCATGTTCTTACTTATGTGGGAGCTAAACCCTGGCTACACATTGACAGAAAGATGGTAACAATAGACACTGGGGGCTACTGGGATGGGGGGAAATGGGTTGAAAAACTACCTATTGGGTACGATACTCATTACCTAGGTGCATTATCCCCCGTAACAAACCTGCATATGTACTCCCTGTGTCTAAAATAAAACTTGAAAGTAAAGAAATACAATATTCACATTTTTTAAAAAAATCACCTTTTTATTTCTCCTTGTAAAATTCAAACAGTCATTCTCAGGAAAAGTAAATAACAGCTATTTTAAAATGCATCTATTCATTAATAGAATTCATAAGCAGATATATATATTCACATATATATGTATATATGAAATAAACACATTGAAGCCTCAATGGTTAATTTAATTTTGTTTATCTTGACTTTTCAGTCTTTGCATTTGCTGCCATAATTTCTACTGCCATTATTTTGGAGAATTTTAATTTACTTTTTTGTGCATGTTACATAAATACTTACGGCTGTGAAAAAACGTAATTTATAATAACTATTATTTCTAATTGGAAAATACAGTGCCATAAAGACTTACATGTGGTGTTTTATAGCGCTGCTGGAGTTTCTTACTGCCCTCTCATAGCCAACTTATATTTCTTTTATGGTCCTTCAAACTATTTGTTGGCTTAACATATTATGAATGAAAGAAAGGACGCATTTAAAAGATGGCAAGGAAGGCAAGGAGGGCAAGGGCTGAAAAACTACCTATTTGGTACTTAGCTCTTTACCAAGATAATGAGTTCCATCATAATCCAAACCTCAGTATCATGCAATATACTTCTGTAACAAACCTGCACAGGTACTTCCTGATTCTAAAATAAAAGTTGAAAAGGAAAGAAAAATTAATTAATTAAATTTAATTAATTACACTTTGTCTATATCAGTTTCTACTTTGATATCCTCACATGCAATGTCAGACCTGATCAGCCAAACATTCCTATGAAGAATTTTTCAACTTGTAGAAGATAAAAATCATATGGAGCTGTTTCAAAAATCACCAATTTTCTTCTGAATCTCAGACCTACTGCAGTTGTAATTTGCAGGAAAGAATCTGGTATTCTGCATAATTAATAAGTTCTCTAGATGAACCTTATCATTAGGCAATTAAAGGAAATACTAGGGTAGGAAAAATAGGTATAATTTTCTCCATGCAGTCTGATGGTAAAACTACTGTCCATATAGATGGTCCCTGACTGAAGATGGTTTGACTTAGAACTTTTTGACTTTATGATGGTGTGAAAGCATGCTCCTTGATTTGCCATGGGCTATGTCCAAATAAACCCATAGTAAATTGAAAATATCATATGCCAAAAATCCACTTTCTACTTAAAAATATTTTCAGTTTATCAGTACATAACCTGACCATAAATAGAGAAACACTGTATTATCTCCCCATCCCCGACACCATAATTCATTTAATACATTCCAGTCCTGCGAGTATTCCAAAATCAGGAATCTCTTTATCTCATTCTTATTAAAATACTTCAATGACTCCTCTCTGCCAATAATATCCCACCCCTCTGGTATATCAGTGAAGGTTCATCATAGCTGTCTCTAAACTTTATAGGCTCATATTCTGTCAAACCTACACTTGGACCAAAGCTACCTGATCCCATTACTCCCATTGACCTCCCAATTCTTACCTAACTAAATCTTTCAATTTTAAGCTCTGCTTCTGCTTCATCCTCTAAGAAGACCTTTCCGATTCACAAAGATCCTTTTCTTTCTTGGGCTGTTTGGAATTTCTTCAATAAAATTCCCAGAAAGGGGTCCCAAATCCTCTAGCTTCCTCATGTAGCAAATTTTCCTCCTCATGGGAATAGATGTGACCATTAGACTACAAGCATCTTTGCAAACAAGAACTTTTCCTGCAAATATATTAGATAGACTTAACTGAACTGGGAGAAAGTGAATATCTTATGATGCCTGATGTACCTTTGTTTAAATCTTTAGTGAACTGTAGGCCTCTACAAGCAAGTTAGGAGCAAAACTTGCTTCTGTGTATTCCAAATAAAGCAAAAGGAAATTACAATAAAATTTCACTGGGGACTGAAATTGTCATTGGATTTTATTACAAGCTCAAAATACCTGTCCCAGGAAAAGTAGTAAAAAGCTTCAGAACGCACCCCTCTCCACACCCCCCACCAACTTTTCTCTCACTAGGTATGCCCAAAGCAGGGATTCCTAACCAGAGAATGCAGGGGGTTCTTGAACTTGAATGAGTAAAAAGTACATACTCGTTTTCACTAATTTCTAACTGAAATTCTTCTGTTTCCTGCTATTATAATGTAACCAACAAACCACAGTAATGTTAGCAGTACCTGTGACATTGTCGAGTATGAAAACAGATTTTCATAACCCACTAGAGTTGCCATAGATGTCAAAGTTTTACTTATGTTCACCACTTCTTCAAGATAATAGCAGCTCTTAGACATGCTACTAGATCGTGTTTGATGTGTTAACAATTGGGCACATATATTACTGTCACAATATTTTGATAAGCATATTGCAGTATAATTGGTTTCCTTTCTTAACTTACAGGTTTTATATTATACAATTAAAAATAACATTCTGAGAAATGGTCCATAGATATCACTGTCTGCCAAAGGGATCTGTGATACAAAAATAAGATTAAGAACTGCCAAAAGGCAGGGAGAACCTACTGCCACCATCTCCACTGATGATGGTGATGAGAAACAACAGTTCCCAGCTCAGGATCATTCAAACTATAGAAGATGCTCATCTTCAAGCAGGGCCACATGTACGCTAAGCTATTGCATTTGATGGGGATACAAAAAGTGTGAAATCGGGTTAATAAACTGATTTGTCCTGACATTATGTCAGATTGCCTATGAAAGAGCCATAAAGTGTTCTAATACAAAGAGAAGAGGCTCCCCCAAGCATCAGACTCCTAGACTTTTAACACAGACTGCTAGAACAGAGGTGGTCAAAGTGTGCTCTGAAGATGGGGCAACTGTTTAGTACCAGTATGGGGAAAGAAAAGAAGCTTGGGTCAGAATAGAAATCAACCACTTCATTACGCATGTTGGGTAGTGTTGGGGTTTTAAAAACAATCTGTCAAAATGAAGGCTTCAGAAATAGCCTCAGAAGCAAAACTTTCTCTCTATCTTAGGCCCTCTTCTCTCTCAGTCCCATTCTCTTTTGAGTCTGGCCATAGAAACTAGAATCCCTCTTCCCCAAGGTGGGTTAGAGAAACCAGCACCCCTTTTCTCCAAGGTCAGCCATAAAACCTTAAAGTATTACTCTAACTTTCCCTCCACCCCATCTGTGTAAAAACTGACCATAAAGAAATCATTAATATCTGACCCACCTTGTTTGACTGTAGGTCATAAGACCCATTCCAGAGAGGGTCCTGCCTTATACCCAGAAGGAAGGAACACGTGCTCAGAGGGGCCGGGGAGAATGTAGAGATGGGACTTGCTGGGTTTCCCCACTCGGTCCATTAGCATTAGATCATACATTTTTGTCCAATCATAGTTTTATACAGCTGTCCATACCTTGTTGAACCTAAGCAGTACAATTTTCTGTATTTTACAGCTGAGGAAACCAAGGCTCAGAAAGATCATCTGAGTCACAAAGATACTAACAGGCTGCGTGAGTTTGGATCTCAGATTTAGGTGACCCCCAACACTATGCCCTTTTAAGAATGAAACACTTCTCCAAGGTTTATTTTATTGGTGATTACCATCTCTACACAGAAGCCTGGGGAAGGAATAGTAAAGGATGCACTATAAATAATCTCAAGTTTTCCTCCTTCAGCTCTTCTTCAGTAACACGACACTCAAAGCGTATACTAGGAAAGAAAAGCTCCCTGTTTAGGGCATATGAGCCACGTCTGACGTCAGGA